GTCACTACTATGTTCTCAATACCTGTTATGTTTAACACTTTTTGGATTTTTTTTGTGTATTATGAATTTATGATTAATCATTTTTTCGTGGAAATAGTCGCATTTCGGCTTATTTGAAATAGAAAAATCCATGTCCGTACGAATAAGTCACGCAGTCTATTCATACGAAAAAAGAAAAAGCAATGAAAAACGTAATTCAAAATTTTCTAAAAGTTATCTAGTTAACCGTGATTCGAAAAAAATAGTCGTGAGTCGTGAAATCGTCAAATTTCTAGCCGTGAGTCGTGATGCGTACCACCCCATTGAGACCCTCACCTAATTGAAAAAACGTACTTTAGTCGTGTTCGAAAAGGTTACATCATAGAAGCTAAGACCGAAAGGGATTTTGAGTACCACTAAATTGGGATTACATTTGCATATACGGTGTACCGTAAATCAAGTAGAGCTAGTGAGATTAACAGCATGCTAGTCTTTTATGCTGGAGAGATGTTTGTTATGAAATTAGCCAAATTGTTTGTCTTCCCAAGTACCCTTTCGGTCTTAGCTTCTATGATTTGACCTTTTTGGACCCGACAACGTTTCTTCAATAGCCGACTTGCGAATTACGCATCAATAGTCACATACAAAGGAATCAAGACGAGGCGCCGTGGTAAAGACAATAGATTTTTCACAAAAAAGCACGGCTCCTCGTCTTGATTCCTTTGTATGTGACTATTGATGCGTAATTCGCAAGTCGGCTATTAGGTGTATATGTATGTGGTCTGAGATGGTGTAATAAATGTAGTAAATGAATCATCTTACCATTAATAAGTTAGGAGCTTAGAAAAAAAATCGTGGATTTGAGCCCACGACCTTCCGTATTCTAGTCGGATGCTCTAACCACTGAGCTACTGGGACTCAYATGTAGAGCTAAGGTTTTAAGTGTGGGTAATGTATGACAATTGCACTGTATATGCTTCAGTCGCGAATATGTCGTATCTTACATTTTTTTCGTTCCCAATTTTTTAATAAATGATTCCTATTGCACTAAAGAATAAAAGTTCTTTTTACTGTATGACAATGTCATCGCTTTCATTCTGCAAAATATGGCGCTTTTAAGTGCATGATTCATCCAAAGTCAGTCTTCAGGCACTTTCAATGTAACACAGGGAACCGTGAAGGAGACTATTATGTATTGGGGTGACCTACGTACTCAGGGCCATTAAGGCATGGCTTTTGGAAAAAATATGAAAAATTGCATCGATTTATTGTAGAAAATCGGTATTTGAATAGAATCTTATAATACTCCGCCAGTATCCGTATTTTGGTAAATGGAATTTTTTTAGCAGTTATTGTTGCCATAGAAACCAAACCACGTGACC